CATCTCTAGAAAATACTAATCAGTTCTAAATAGGATGAATACGCAATGAAGCACTCATGGGTTCAATGGTGCTACTGCAACTGAGAGAGCCATGTTGTGAAGCGAATATGCCTGCTTCTTCGCGTCCTTCTGCCCCCTCCCCTCGTACACACTCGTCCAGCTACCCAACTGCAGTAACTTCTTCAAAACGAATCCATGATGGACTAAAAAAGTTCTCGTCCAATCAGTTGCAAGAAGAAAGGAATTCAGTGAGCACAGCACTCTTTCGTCATCATTTACATCAAAAATAAATAATTTATCAAACAAACCAAAACACCAAATCGACCAGATCACCAGATAAAATATGCCTAGAATCGGGAGCCGCACAGGAGATCCATATTGCAGCGACACGCAGGAACTAGCACAGTATCTAGATAGGTAGCCCTTAGCTCCTAGCTAGTTGACTCGATATACTAGCTCGTTAGACCCTCGTTCCTACTGCAGAACGAGGCCGAGTCTTTTAGGGATCACGCTTCGCGACCAACCGCGCTCCACTGCTAATGGTTGGACCGCTGCAGCTGCTCATTCAACCGGTCTTAGGACAACTAATCCGTTTTTTTCTCTGCGTCTCGCTCTCGAGGCCAGACACCAGACGGGAGAGCACGCTGCGGTCAGGCACGCAGAGTGACTCACCAACTTGAAGAACGGTCAGCCTGCTTTCAACGTGAGCAGGGTGATATTGAGAAAATTGGTGAAGGCTAAGCTATTCAATAGAAAACGAAGATAGCGTTAGATATCAGCACACTTCTACACCAAGGACAGTGTAGTACTTGACCAAAATTAAAGGCAGTATCCGCGATTATTCGCCATCTCAGATAGTGGATTAGGGGGTTCCATATAGACGACAAGGGGTTGAGTAACTCGACAGTGAAGAAAAAGCACAAAAAACATGCCACCTGCCCTAGATAGAACCCCATTTGATCCCAGTTTGTACGTGCCCAATTAACTCTATCTCCCACACTACGCCCTCATACGCACAGCTGATTCACCGATAAGAACTCTACGATCGTACAAGTGACGATTTTCATGCTTTTTCGTCCTGCAATCTCGTTTTTCACTGAAAGCCGGGCATTGGAGGCGGAGTCTGGAGGCGGAGTCACTGGAAAAAAGGAGGACCACTGAACCTATATTGCGCTATAGCGCCCCTCCCTTAGAATTTTTTGCCGCGAAACCGGTACAAGGTTGTTCGTCGCGGACCACTCTAACCTCCTGACGCCATATTTTCAACTTCGATACCTGATCGCGGACCGTGCCTTTGAGTGAGGAAAGTCAACGTTATTCGAAACACTCCACGTGGATAATTATGTGAACACAAGTGAGGAAAAATGAGCTCAAAAATCATGTGAACTCAAAAAAATAATTTTTTTAGTTTTTTTCCGCTGAGCTTCTGGGCAGTCCAAGGTGCTAAAGAAATGTTTGACGAGTTCACGATGAGCTCGTGTCGATAGAAAACACTTCAGTTTTTTGCACGAGAGATTCGGGTGGACACGTTTTTGTTCATGCAAAAGATCCCGACTTACGTGAACACAAGGAAATAAAAATTGTGAGAATGCACTTTTGTGACCTAGAATACTCTTAATCCTTTCTTTGACCTCCCCAAAAGTCACTAGTAATTCACTGTAGTACCCTACGTTCCCACTAGTGAGTCACCAGTAATTTTGAAAAAGAAACCAGCGATTATCGTCCAGTCGATCCGAGTGAGAGAGAGCGAGAGAGTACCGACAGCTAGGGGAGATTTGCACTCTCGCCGCATAGAAAGGATTAGATGTCACACAATCCATTCAACCTATAAGTTGCAAAACTTACAACATGTCAAAACAAACGCAATCGCTGTGACAGCTGGCGCCACATGATTGCCGAAATCGCGGCCAAGCGTGAACATGACGTGAATCAATTAGGTCCTTGCGCGACGCGTCGCCGGAACGTGTACCTCCTGTACCGCAGAGAATCAGTGCATAGAACAACAAATC